ATCTTTAATTTTCAGGCTTATCACAGAAACTTTACAAATATTCATTAACTAATTCATAATTTATAAGGTAAAAAAGTTCAGTCTTTTCCATCCTCTCATTGAAAGTTCAGTAGTCAGATGCCCCTGTCAGGATTCTTCTAGGTTACAGTGTGAGATGTTATGAGCTTGGGTGGGAGAGGGTGGCAGAGGCTGACTCATCCCCCCAACCTCTGTATTCCTCTTGCCATTGCTTATCTCAGTAAGGTGCTCACAGCACCGTCTCTATGAAGCAGCTGTTTCCTTCGTAGCTGTCGACTGACTGGAAATGGCAGGAAGGGAGTACGGCAGGTGGAACCTCATAACTAGGGCTAAAAAGCGTTTAACCTGTTTTCACCCGGCAAATAGAAGAATGACGGCTGAGCGGGACTCTCATTGATCTGGGAGAGCGCCATATGGCGTCCTTCCTGGATCGTGCCTCACATGTGCCTGTGGGGCTGAGCCATGGCGAGATCTGTCACCGGCTGTGTACCTCGGACAAAGCCGATGACAGATCTGTGTACCAGCCACGTACCAGTACCATGTGATTGCTCACAGCCGGTCACATGACTTTGTGATTGGTCACAGTGATCACATGTACAGACTGGGGCAATCGCAGCCCATCTGGGTCATGTGATTAGCTGTGGCCAATCAAAGCTAATCACAACAAAAAAAAACCTGAATGAACCAATTTCATTCAGTTAAATGCTTGCTTATAGCAAAGAAGATTCTTTGCTATAAGCAATCATATGTGTAAAAAAAAATGATCACTTCCCCAGAGTAGTACCATAGTAACATTATACTACTCTGGTCACAGTTTACTATGAAAAAAAAATCTTAAAAAAAGAAAAAAATCTAATAAAAATAAAAAAAAGTAAAAAAAGATACTTTTTATTGTACTGTCACCAGTCAGTGTCTCTGATCACCGCCACACCAGTTATATGATGACACTGTACTGGACTGGTGACAGTATGTAAAAAAAAATAAAACAAATTTGTGAACTTTTTTTTTACATTTCTTCATTTTCCAAAAAATTATGACAAAAAAAATACAACTTCAAAAAACTCGCCATGCCTCTTACTAAATACCTCGGACTGTCTACTTTGCAAAAAGGGGCCATTTGGGGGATCTCTACTGTTAGATTGGCTGTCAGTACGTTGGGACTGATCGATTTTCATAGTTTTTGAACTCTATACCTTTTCTAAAGACTAAATAATAAACACTTTTTCATCAAAGAAATGTAGCAGAATACATCTTGGCCTAAATTTTTGAAGAACAATTATTTATTTGCAAAATTTTATAACAGAAACAAAGAAAAACTTTTTTTTTCTAAATTTTTGGTCGTTTTTCATTAATTTAGTAAAAAATAAAAATCCCAGTGGTGATTAAATACCACCAAAAGAAAGCTCTAGTTGTGTGAATAAAATGATAAAAACTTTGTTTGGGTACAGTGTTGCATGACTGAACAATTGTCATTCAAAGTGTGAGAGTGCTGAAAGCTGAAAATATGCCTGGATAGGAAGAGAGTAAAAGTATTGAAGTGATTAAAAAAAACATGAGATAAAGTACTACTTTTTCCAATGAGGGACAGAACTGAAAAAAAAAAAAAAAAAAACAAATATGCTTTAAAGCTTTGTGAATCTTGCTGCTTCTGCAGAGTGGGAAGGATGCTTTACTGGGTTTGATTTATTATCTGGTCCAGTGCCATGCAATCTGGCCTGTTAACACAAACAGCATATGTGTCAGTGTCAGTATATGTATCCCCTCACTATGGGGTTTGTTTACTAAAGCTGGAGAGTGCAAAACCAGGCTTCTGGAAGGAAACCAATCCGCTTCCAGGTTTTATTGTCAAAGCTTAATTAAACAAGCGGAAGTTAGCAGCTGATTGGTTTCTGTGCAGAAGTGAGCCTGATTTTCTCCAGCTTTAGTAAATAAACCCACTGGTTGGTACATATGTTTATGTTAACAAAATACCATGGGAACTGTGCAGGGGCGGACTGACCATTTGGAAACTCGGGCACTGCCCGAGGGCCCAGGGTCAGTAGGGGGCCCCATGAGATGCCCCTGGTACCTTTTTTCCTAGGCTTTTTTGAGTTTGGGCAAGGACACAGGGGCCCCATGATCCCCTATTGCCCAGGGGCCCCATGAGTTGTCAGTCCGCCCCTGGAACCGTGCATAAATTAAGTGCATTAAATTTGACAATACATGAGTAATATTGCTTCACATATGCAAAGTGAATAATTGTAACATTCAGTCCCAATACGGAAAAATAAAATGCCTGGGTGTTGAATACTAATTAGTGAACTTTGCACAAAAAATGACAGGTGCTCCTCTGTGCTCAATCGGTGCCCCACATGGATGTGCACTCATTGTAAGCCATGGACCACCTATCTCTAGGTTGGTCTTAAGCGCCTGGTTAGGGACTAGCCCAATGCGTGATGGCAAGAATGGCACCAATATTCATTCCTGGGAATCATGCGTTCTGGCTGATAGTAACCAATAGGATGATGACCAGCGTGGATATAAATGACAGTGTAGTTTCAAAAGAGCCTTTTTAAACTTTCTCCTCTCCTCCCAGGCAGTAAACCAAGTTTCAGAATGTGAACAGAAACAAAAGCAAACATCCCATAGTGTAAAACCATAAAAAAAACTTTAATGATGGAGAGAAATTATAAGAATAAAACTCACAAGCAAAGTGCCCATAACCTGGTACTCAGTGTATTCAACCTTGCTGCCTGTGAATAGGAACCAAGATGGTTGTCGTGTCCCAGTGTGTGTTCCAAAGGGCGGAAATGATGTCAGTGGAAGTTGTGTCATCAAACTTGGACCAGTTTCTATCAATAGATAGTCAGCAGGCACTTCCTGATGACGATCTATTGATTGAAACTGGTCCAGGTTTGATGATGCAATTTTAGTGCCCTGATTCTGAGTAAATGTCCCCTGTCACAGGAAAGCCAGTTATCATCTTTCCTTTCCTCAGACAGTGACAGCTCTGAGGAAAAGAAATACCAATAACCAGCATTTGTTTACATGTGATCAGCTGTGATTGGACACAGCTGATCACATGGTAAAGGGCCAACGTCATTGGCTCTTTACCCTGATCAGTGATGCACTGTGTCCGAGGGACATATGATGTCCTCCCAGAATGTGATTGGTCGTACCCAGTCATAATTTTACAATAGGCTGGGTGGGAACCAGTAAAAGAATAAGTTCACCTTCTGGAGCATTTAATATGTTACACCCATAATTAGGATGCACATCCTCGCATACCCAATCTCCCCCTCCCTGTGACAGCAGGCAGGGATCCTCTCCCTGCACCCACTGTCACTTTTTGAAAACAACGTGGCTATGTGGGGCTCCATCCACACAGTCACATCATTCATTCACAAGAATCTGTGAATGAGAAAACTACAAGTCCTCTCTGCCACCATAATGATTAGCACACTCCTAGTTCATTCACACTCCCTCCAGCTTACAAGCTGACAGCCCGTACAGAGGTTTACATAGGTGTGCAGGAGCCTGCAATTGCACCCGTGATCTGCTGATCTTGGGTGCAATACTTTGCCGGCTGCTGTTAAAAAAGTAATAAGTGCACATTATTTACTTGAAAAAAAAATGCGCGTTTATTATTTTTTAGTAAAAGGTGAACTTTGCTTGGGCACCTCATGTTATATGGTGAAAACTGTTGTCCAGTTCTGCTCCTGTGATGCCACCTTGCTACACGAGAATACAAACAGCTATTAGGACACACACTGGGGTTGATTTAATAAAGGCAAATAAACAACTGCACATTGCAAGTGCAGTGGCTACAGCTCTGCTGACTATCATCATCTACTTATGTACAAGCAAAAGTGCTTTATATATCGGTGTCAATGACAGTCAGTCTGTCCATCACTCTGCCAGTGGTAGTCAGATCATCATGAGAAATCAATCTGTCCATCAGTCACTCTGTGCCTGTGTATGCCTATTTCATTTTCTGTCTAGCAATGTTATGAAGTCTATGAAGTCTGTAAATGCTAACCAACCTGTTCTTTTTATGTCAATTTATTTATCTTTGTGTATTTCTATACAAGGCCTTTTAACTGACTGTACGTGACAATCCATGTTACCCAAAGATGTGGAACATCAAAGAATAAATAAGAAGGAACTGCAAATCAATATGCAAAATAGACCCAAGATGAATACCAATTATACTGTATATAGATCCAAGAGTGTAACCTCCTTTGAAAAATAATTGTCTGAATCTCAATTTATAAAAACAGAGTAGACTGCTAATTATCTTAGAGGCATGCTACCAGAGGGGAATAAAACCTTGAATATTCAATACATAGGGGGTTATTTAATAAAATTGGAGTGTGCAAATTCTGGAGCAACTCTGCAGAGAAACCAATCAGCTTCCAGTTTTTATTGTCAAAGCTTAACTGAACAAGCTGAAGTTAGGAGCTGATTGGCTACCATGCACAGCTGAATCAGATTCTGAGTGCACCAGTTTTAGTAAATCTCCCCCACTGTAACACTTTATACTGTATATAACCTAATACCTAACTTATAAATAGGAATAAGCAAAGTAGCTTATATTTGATTAATGGGAGGATCTGTGAAACCAGCATGAGCTCTACAAACCCGAACGTAGCATCAAATCCCACTAAAGTCTATGGGTTGTGAATATATATATGATATTTTTTTTTTCTTTGCCATAACCAAGAAATGGTTGAAAAATGGCAGAGGGAGCTAGGCATTTTCATGGGCAATGGGCAAATAATGATTACAAAAAATTACCATAAAGTGTTGGTACACATATAAGCGGATTGGATGAAGTTTGAACCACATCCAATCCACATGACATGTGAAATAACATTGCTTCCTATGGTGCCTGTTCACATACACTATATTGCCAAAAGTATTGGGACCCCCTTCCAAATCATTGTATTCAGGTGTCCCAATCATTTCCATGATCACAGGTGTATAAAATCCAGCACCTAGGCATGCAGACTGCTTCTACAAACATTTGTGAAAGAATGAGTCCCTCTCAGGAGCTCAGTGAATTCAAGCGTGGTACCGTGATATGTTGCCACCTGTGCAATAAGCCCATCTGTGACATTTCCTTGCTACTAAATATTCCACAGTCAACTGTTAGTGGTATTATAACAAAGTGGAAGCAACTGGGAACAACAGCAACTCAGCCATGAAGTGGTAGGCCACGTGACAGGGCAGGATCAGTGCTGAAGCGCACAGTGCACAGAAGTCGCCAACTGTCTGCAGAGTCAATAGCTAAAGACCTTCAAACTTCAGATTTGCACAACAGTGCGTAGAGAGTGTCATGGAATGGGTTTCCATGGCAGAGCAGCTGCATCCAAGCCTTCCATCACCAAGTTCAATGCAAAACATCGGATGCAGTGGTGTAAAGCACACCACCACTGGACTCTAGAGCAGTGGAGACATGTTCTCCGGAGTGAGGAATTGCGCTTCTCTGTCTGGCAATCTGATGGATGTGGGTTTGGCGGTTGCCAGGAGAATGGTACCTGCCTGACTGCATTGTGACAAGTATGAAGTTTGGTGGAAGGGAGATTATAGTGTGGGGTTGTTTTTCAGGGGTTGGGCTTGGCCCCTTAGTTCTAGTGAAGGGACCTCTTAAGGCGTCAGCATATATTTTGAACAATTTAATGCTCCCAACTTTGTGGGGGGACAGTTTGGAGATGGCCCCTTCCTGCACCAGTGCACAAAGCAAGGTCCATAATTACATGGATGAGCGAGTTTGCGGTGGAGGAGCTTAACTGGCCTGCACAGAGTCCTGACCTCAACCCGGAAGAACACCTTTGGGATGAATTAGAGCAGAGACTGCAAGCCAGGCCTTCGCGTCCGACTTCAGTGCCTGTCCTCACAAATACGCTTCTGGATGAATGGTCAAACACTCCCATAGACACACTCCTAAACCTTGTGGACAGCCTTCCCAGAAGAGTTGAAGCTGTTATAGCTGCAAAGGGTGGGCCAGCTCAATATTGAACCCTACAGGGTAAGACTTGGATGCCATTAAAGTTCATGTACGTGTAAAGGAAGGCGTCCCAATACTTTTTGCAATATAGTGTATGTCCGGTGCACTGGCAGTGCGGATTCAGTGCGGATTGAAAAAGAGTCCTGTCCAAATTCTGAGCAGTGCGGTCCGATTCAGGTGTGGATTACAGGCTATTGACTTCTATGGGAACTGCTTCTGAACATCACATGTCATCAGTTGTTAACAGGCTTTCAGTTTAGGTTCAGGATCAGGCTTCAGCACAGCTTGCTCTCCTCCCCAACTCCTCTCCACCTCAGCAAAACAAAAAAGCCTTGCAAAACCACACTCAAACCGGCCTTGAACCTGTGAACAGTACAATCCATAGCTGTATCACAAAAACCGGTCCTGAACTGGCTCTGAACTCCTGAGCAATCTACTAGTGCAATCTGCACTGAAACCGGACCTTGAAAGCTGGAATGCACATGTGTGAATCGACACTCAGTGAGGTCTTTCCCCATGAAGGGCAACATTAAAAACTCACAAAATTCTTTGGAAAACATTCTTGTGGGATACCATAAATCTACATATGCTGTTACGAAACAGTATGTTACGGTCATTTAACCACTTCACCTCTCACACCTGTTAACTTTCTATAGACCACTGCAATCTTTACATTTCTGCTTTGGACCTGTTTATTTGGCAATAACTTTGCCATTACTCAAGATGACAAGGTAATACATATATTGTTTTTTTTTTAAGGACAAAGAAAGCTTTCTTTTCATGATATTGTCGTACAACAATGATTTCCTTTTCCGCAATCCTTAGACAATACAATGCCACAAACCTAAACAAAATGCACTTTTTTATTTTTAGTGTTAGTTTTAAAATAAATAAATAGTGCTGCTGCAGATACAAAGTGAGCATTTTATTCTGTAATCTGTGTTTTAACACTAAAGTTATGATTCTGGTACAAAGCATTACAAAGTTATTTGCAAACAAAATAAAAAAAAAAAAGTTTAAATATTGATAGTTAATAAAATAGAAGCAAACAAAAAAAATTGAAAAATAATAGTTGAAAAGAGAAGACTTAGGCTTGTTTCCCACTCCCGTGACTTGAGATCTGACTAGTAAGATCCCAAGTCACATGACATGTGAAATCCCATGTTAGTCAATGAGAGCTGTCTAAATTAGCACTACTGACGCTGCTCCAATTTTAGAAAAGGTTGCTGTACTACTTCAAGGTGACTTCTATCCAACTTTTGCCCATAGACTTTAATGGAAGTTGCCTCCAAGTTGGATCTCATCTATATTGATGTGGTTTGGATCCAACTTTATAGGAAAATTACCCGGGCAAGGTCACATGGCATGAAAGTTGCTGCAAAGTCGCATCAAGTCACATCAAAAGTCGTGCTCAAGTCGCATCAAGTCGCCAGCAAATTGCCAGGAAGTCACCTGTCAATGTTGCACTGTAAGTCTGCGACTTTCAGGTTGCAGTAGTGTGAACCAAGCCTAATTAGTTCAGGTTGCAGTTAATTAGAGCTGATTAGCATAAACAAACAGTTAATAAGGGATTAAACAGAGGAACACTTTATTTATAAAAAAAAAAATGAAACAACTTGTTTTTACTTGTCAGGTTGCTTTAATTGACATCATCTGCCTATCTAAGTTGATCACTTTGATCTGCAGATGAATGAACAGAAAGATACAAATGTAACAATATGTTACATTGTATCCTTGTATAATCACCATCTAAAGATTCAGACTGCTTTTTGTCAGCTAGAGCTGACTACTTCTTCTCTGAGTATACTGTAAAAGCCAGCTTTGAAAGGCCCTTATCCCAATGTTGATGGTTAAGGGCCTCTACCCCACATCCTGTCCCCTAAAAGGATGAGGGTGTTTGTGGGGGCTTATAGTAATTTGGTAGCCCCCTTTATAATAAGGGCACCCCCAGAGGAATGGATACTCATTCCCAGAAAAGTGAAATATTAATAAACACAGAAAAAGTCCTTACTGTCAATAAAAAAAACAGTCCTCTGATGTAACTCCATTGTCAATCACATGTGCCCTCCTTTTGGAGACAGGATGCAAGGAAGAGGCCCCTGTTTCCCAACAATGGGACATGGTGCCTTGCAAGGGGGGAGGCTTTGTCCCATGCAGTTTTTTTCACTTTTCTTTAATGGATTAAATTGTACTGTTCCAATTTTGTGGTAGCTCCAATTTTTTATGTTACATGATATTACCACAAAGGTGTAAAAAACGCAAAATGTCAGTAAAAAACACACCAGTTTGAATTTTAGAGCAAACAAATTCAATAAATTACCCACATTTTTGGTAAAATATAAAAGATGAGGTTGCACTGAATAAATTAGATACCCAACTTGTCAAACCTTAAATCTGTGTGTGCCCCTGAAATGGCAACAAACTTCAGTACCCTATATTTTCTATAGGCAACGCTTGAAAAGCCCCTACAGATCATCACTTTAGAGTTACAGAGGAGGTCTTGTGCTAGAATTATTGCTCTTATTTCGGCTCGTGTGGGGATACAGTATGTGACATATAAAACAGTGTAAACAATCTGCGCAACTAATAATAAAAGTTCATAATCGCATGAAAAATAAAAAATAAATTAGTGAAAAATAAAATAAAACTAGAAAATAAAATAAAAAGTGATTGCTGCTGACACATCAAGTAGTGCTTTTCACCACACTTCACAAAAATGTATAACACCCTCCACGATACAGGGCAATCCCATTAAATAATGTGATATAATATAATATTGTTTTGAATTAAGGACTTCCGCATTATTTGATGGGATTGCCCTGCATCATGTAGGACGTTCTACGATATGTAACATGTATATTGCAATCAACGTTTCCACACATAGGTGCTCCCGGCACATGTGTGTACTTTCTTACGTGCATATATGTGGGGGTGGAGGGGTATAACGTTAATTTTTTGCAAGAAAAAATATTTTTTTTTTGCTTTTTTTTATGCTGTGATGATTTTTAAGTGACAGGTTCTCTTTAATGAGACATCCAGGGTCTAACATACCCTGCATGTCTCCTCTGCGCTTCACTAAATGTATTGCAATGCAGATCACATTGCAATATATTCCTCCCTGGCTATTCTAGCCAGGAAAAGTGACAGGGGTGACCCAGACGTGATGTCATACACATCACTTTCTAGGTCACAGCTAGAACGGGAGGAGAGCAGACATGTGTCCGCTCTCCTCCCTCCCCTCCATGCTTTTTGACCCGCCATATTGACCTTGGGCTTCACTGAATGTATTGCAATGCAGATCGCATTGCAATATATTCTTCCCTGGCTATTCTAGCTAGGAAAAGTGACAGGGGTGACCCAGAAGTGATGTCATACCCGTCACTTTCTGGGTCACAGCAAGAAGCGGAGGAGAGTAGACATGTGTCCACTCTCCTCCCTCCCCTCCATGCTATTTGATCTGCCATATTGACCTTGGGCTTCACTGAATGTAGAGCAATGCAGATCCCATTGCAATATATTCCTCCCTGGCTATTCTAGCCAGGGAAAGTGACAGGGATGACCCAGAAGTGATGTCATACAAGTCATTTTCTGGGTCACAGCAAGAAGAGGGAGCAGAGCAGACATGTGTCCGCTCTCCTCCCTCCCCTCCATGCTCTTTGACCCACCATATTGACCTTGGGGGCACAGACGGGCAAACGGAGCCCAGATTACATGATGGGGGCGTCGCTACTGGGGACGTATGGAAGCAAACAGGTGACAGCAGAGCCACCTGAATGCTTCCACCTGACAGGCTGGAGTCTAGACACAATCCTGGGGGCTGCATCCACCAGATTGTGTGTAAAAGCCCCCACTGTCAGGTCTATATGATGTGCAGACCTCGCAGTGAAAGGGTTAAACAGCAATTTTAGTCTCAAAGCTACTAGAGATAGAGAACACTGTTAATCTGAATACAAAAATGGAGAGTGTGCAGAGGATTCAGGAGTGGAAAATAGGTCAGCAGCAAGTCAATCTTTATCTAAATAGCAATTTCAAACCAAAGGCTGGCCATACACTATACAATTTTCTGTTCAATTTCTGCCCAATTTTCTTTAGACTTACCTTCAGCTATGTAGTGCAAGGGATACAATTGGATACCATTGAAAGTGTTGTTTAGGTTTGACCTCATATTATATGGTTTTTGGTAAATCTAAAGCCATTTTCTAAAGAAAATTGTATAATGTATGGCCAGCCAAAGGTTACTAGATACAAATAGCTCATTTGTGGGTTTTACTACAAGAATGAAGATTCTGCAGAGGTTACAGCATGGTAAGACTGGGCATCAGCAGGGCAATTTTAAATAGCAATTTCAAACCCAAATTTACCAGTG